GTCGTCTCCTAAAAGCAATTCTCATTCTTCAGAAACTGAAAAAGCAGTTGAGGAAATTGAAGATCAATCAATCATTGATGTAGAAACTCTGGATGAATCTGTATCGTGGGTGACTGATATTGACAACGAATAGTCATTGTTGTCGTCGTGCGACGAGGAAGTGGCAGCTATTAACGACAATATTTTAGAGGTGATTTCGGAAGACAAAGGTGAACCAGATTCCTGGGACGCTTTGGACGAGCTTGTTGGCGAACGATTCCAAAATCGCGATTCTAGCTTTGTCTTAAACGACGGAGAGTGTCAGATGAACGCAGACGAGCTAATTACGAGCGAAGAATAGCAGCTGTAGTAAACATCTCTGAACATCTTCTGCATCAAGAGTTACTGGCAGCTGTTAAAGCAGCGGCCTGTGAAGTTACTGAGATTGATGCCTTGGAAGATGAGGTGAAGCAAAGTGTAACGAAACATCATGTACATGTTATAAATAGCCCAACGAAAGACAAAATACAAGCGCATGTGACCAACAAGGAAAAAGGTGGTACTGTCAGTGGAGAAAAGGCAACAGTTGAAGACGCTATTGAACAATTAAACAAACTGCGTTCAGTGGTCACTGACATACGAGAGCAGCTAAGTGGAAGGAATGGAACTAAAGGACAGAGATTTACTGTACAAACAGAGATGAATTCAGTCCCAGTTCTGCTGAATAGCATTAGTACGCGTGATGATAACATCGGAAAAATGGCAGAAGAATTAAAACAGGCAACTGAAAAGAGTAATAAGGGTTCAGTCAAAAGCGACGAGCATGTTGGGACGGAAGTGTTAGAGGAAAGAAGAAAAGAAAACGCCAAAATGTTGGTTGAGATCACTATAATGCAGGAGGAGGTCGTGGCGTTTAAGAAGAAGAATAAATCTTTGCATTCTGAGCTTGAAGCGACAAAAGCTGAGTTAAAATGTCTTCAATCCAGGGATGAGTACAAGCAAAGAGAGTTAACAAATTTAAAAAATGATTTTGATCGAAAGGAGAAAAAGTGGGATGAAGCAGAAGAGAGCCTGGAAAACGCGCTGAAGGACAAGCCAGAGCTATTGCATGATGTTGAGTATTTGAAGGACAGCCTGAGGTTTAGTCGGGAAAACATTGCGAGGTTGAACAATAGAGTTGACGAATTAAATGAGATCATTAAAGAATTAAAGAAGAGACTAAGATGGATCATAAGCGACACGAGTACGGACATTTACGCGAGGAGTTAGAGTTATTGAAGGGATCCCTGGAATTGTCTAGTCAACAAGAAACGTTGTTGAGATGCCAGGTGGATGGTTTAGAAGCAGATGTATCTCACTTCAAACATTGTGAGCAGACCTTGAAAAGCAACTTGAAGACTGTAATAAACGAGAAGTCGAGGATAATAGAGCAACTTGAGGAACAGCTGAGTACAGCTGAGAATGAAATTATCAGGATGATCGCAGAGCTGTCAAGGGCATCAGATAAGGAGAGTCTGCTGAGCGAACTTAAGAAAGAAAACATGAGGGTTATAAAACAACTCGAAGATCAGTCAAAGGAGATTACTGAAGAAAACTCCACGCTTAAAGCCGAATTGTCCAAGGTATCAGAGAAGGATAATCAAATGACTGAGCTCAAAAGTGAAACGACGAAGGTCATAAAACATCTTGAAGATCAGCTAGTGAACCTTAAGAAGGAAAATCACAACCTGGCCATAGAATTGTCCAAGGTGTCAGAGAACGATAATGAGATGATTGAATTAAAAGGTGAAACGTCCAAGTTCATCAATAATCTTGATGATCAACTAGCAGCACTTAAGAAGGAAAATTCCACGCTGGCCACAGAATTGTACAAGGCATCAGAGAAGGATAATCACATGACTGAGCTTCAAAGTGAAACGACGAAGGTCATAAAACATCTTGAAGATCAGCTAGCGAACCTTAAGAAGGAAAATCACAANGCTGGCCACAGAATTGTACAAGGCATCAGAGAAGGATAATCACATGACTGAGCTTCAAAGTGAAACGACGAAGGTCATAAAACATCTTGAAGATCAGCTAGCGAACCTTAAGAAGGAAAATCACAATTTGGAAACAGAATTGTACAAGGTATTAGAGAAGGATAACCAAATGAGTGAACTAAAACGCGAAACGTCGAAAGTCATAAATAAACTTGAAGATCAGCTCGCGACTCTTAAGAAGGAAAACTCCACGCTGGCCACAGAATTGTCCAGGGCATCAAATAAGGATAACCAGATGAGTGAACTACAGAGCGAAACGTCGAACGTCATGAAACAACTTGAAGATCAGTTAGCAAGGCTTAGGAAAGAAAATTCCACGCTGGCGACAGAACTGTCTAACGTCACGGAAAAGGATAAACAACTGACAGAACTCTGCAACCAAGTAGAAAACTTGACGACTCAGAACAAGTTACTACAAGATCAAGCCGTGGAATCCAAAAAGCAGTTTTTTGATGAATTGAAATATCCGCCGGAAGAAACCAGTGAACTTGGAGAAGACAGCATGCGTACAAGGAGGTGTCGCAGAAGCAAAGGCTCCGATGTTAAAAAGTTAAGGAAACGCGTTCGTCAGAATGAACAAGAACTTGAGTTCTTAGGTAGATTTATTCGACAGAGAGGTCTTGAGTTTGGGAGAAGACCACAATACCACATCGATCAGGATCTGAAAGACACGCCTGATGAACTGCCGAACGTAAAAGACACCTTAAACCGTGGGCAATAACATGGAAAAGATAAACAGAACACAAGCCAAGTGCGAGAAATGGAGGAGGTCATCGAGGGCATCAGAAAATCTCTTCGACAGGCGGAGTATGATTTGCACCAAACAAAGGATGCTTTAACAGTGAAGACAGAAAGGACTGAATTTCTGGAGCGTCGAGTGGAAGAGACAGAAATGTTACTTGAGGAAACAAGCAAGCGTCTAAGACAGAACCAATACGATTTTAACAGACTGATGCAACTTTGAGACAGCAGTTAGAAAGATCAGCAACGCTTGAAAATCAATTAAAAGAAAAGGAAAATGCCAGGAACACTGCAATAACATCCATCAAGATCAGGAATTGAAGGAGGCCTTCCGCAGAATATGCCAAAAAGATCAAAGGACTGATGATTTATTTGATGAGTTAAAGCGAGAAAGATATGATAAAGAGTGTCTTAAATGAGCCATTGAAGTGAACGAATGTAATGCTGTTAGGGAAAAAGGACTATTAAAGAGACTAAGAGGACTTGAGAATCAGTTACAGCGGACGGAGGAGCTAAAAAAAACCAAATTAGCCTCTCTTATGGACAAACAGCAGGAATTGGAGCAGTTGTACCGCAGCGTAAGCACTAAAGATGCACAAATTGACGACTTAACACTAAAGCTGAAACAAGAAAGGCTGGACAAAGACTTTTTGAAAAGGACCATTGCCGTTGCGGAGTGTAATTTCGATAACGAGAAGGGACTTCTCGAGAGATCAACACAGCTTGAAAACAAGTTACCGGAGACACAAGAGGTGAGAGAGAAAATGCTAGTGTCACTTAAGAATAATAAGGAGGCATTAGAGCAAGCCAATGATGAGACTGATCAACTAAATCAAAGGTTAACACGGGAAACATCGGCTGACCGGTCTTTACCAGGATAAATAAAGTTATTATTATTATTATTATTATTATTAAAGATTCGCACAGCTATTGATGATATTGAAGCTGGTTTCGTC